AGCAGGACAGGCTGTGCTTAACAGTATAACGATATTAAACTGATTCATAATGCACAACTAAATCCAAAGACAGGCAGATATCACTGCTTCCAGATATTTTCTTATAACCTTTGTCTTGCCTAGTATAATAACATTTACAAGTTTGCTTTAAGCCAGCTACAAAGGAAACTATTCTATGAAAACAGAAAATAACTTATTCTTACTACCCTGGGCCACCTCTACATGAGGAAGACTTCCTAGAATTTTCAAGTTATGATGTGACTCTGCAAATTGTGCTCACATTTAAAACAACTCTGCAGATACAAGGTGGTATCACTTGAAATAAATGCATTTGGAAAAAAGGTAAGAACATCCACACTGGTAAAAGAAAGTTCTGATTGCGCAGTGGTGACACAAAATATGTACACCATAGCCAAACACATTAATTTTATATCTTAGGCAATCCCAATGAAGTCATGTAAATCATGGCAAATTTAGAAAGAAAGCATTTTTAAAAGAGGATCAAGTACAGATATATGCAAGGATAAGCAGATGGAAAATCCTACCAAAGTTAGATTCAACTTGCATTGAATAAACTTTCACAAGTGAAGAGACAAAAACAGTGCGTGTGTCAATATGAACTGCTGAGGGCAGATTTGAACATACCTGACCACATGGGACACTGCCAGGCATGTGGGGAAGAAAGCAGGGAATGCCCAGAGCTGCCCACAGACCTTTGTTTCATAGCAATACAGGTATCTTGTCTCCAAAATGTTATGTCACTAAGAGATGTATGATAAGAGTGAGAAACAGCTGAGGCTTCATTAATAGCAGGAGACCTGCTTGCAGTGCTGAATTTCAGTAAAAACAAAGAGTAAGTTATAAGGCTGAAGTGAGATTGCCATTTGTTTCAGTGAGCCAGATGGTCCACCTTTTACATAAGCAAAGTTCTATCACCAGGACACAAGATTTGTTGTCACCCTTCATGGCAGATTGGAATTAGTGAGGTAAATCAACTATCAGATCTAGTTAAATATGTCTAATTAGAAATCCTCCCTCAGCAAGTATTAAAAAATGAAACTTGTATTATACTAAAATGTTTTCATACCAAAAATAGTGGCTTTCCAAAAGGGAAGAAATCAATTGCGTTGATGCTTATCGATCTCAGTCTGCTCTCCTGGGGTCTGAATAACTTTGGAAAAACTTTTAAATCATGTCTTGTACCATGGCCTACCAGCCCCTATGAACAATATAAAGAAAATGAATTAAACAAAACGAAACAAAATTTGCATTATCAGTATTACAAGAAAAACTTAAATAATTCACAGAGCTGCTACCTTAAAAGATCCTTAACAGCTAACAAATTATTAAAATCTGTTAGCTATTAAAATAGTCTCGAATTATAAATTTTATACACAGTCTACTAGTAAAATTCCAAGTAAATGGGACAGCTTCCAAAACAAAAATTAACAATGAGATTAATTTCAGCACATTACTCACAATGTTTGTTCCAACAATGAAATTATTAGGATTAGAAGGCAGAAATTTAATAGTCAGTGTCTGGGGCATTCTCTGGCGCACATCCTTTGGGAAAAGGCTATGAAAAACATAAAGGTAAAAGATAACAAATACAGGAAGTTGTCTCCTAAAGCTATGCAAGTACATACAGAAACTCTTAATCTAAAATGTGTATGACTAGCTCTAGGAAAAAGTATATATTAACACAATATACAACTAATGAAAATATTGTTAAATATATCTTACATAACAGCAAATTAATGAAGTATAGGAAAAATTAGCTTTGTGAGATACACATGTAAAATCTAAGTGCCTCTGTTTTCTTACCTGTTATTCAATTCCATAGTAGAGCTATGTACTAACTTCACTTTCCCTCCAGGAATTAAACCTAAAATTATATGAAAGAATTATTTAAACTGATTTAAGCACTTTCCATTAAGGAAGTGCTATCCTCAAATTAAAACCTAACCTAATAAGTAAAAGGATACTTCATAATTAAATTGTTTATTGTAGATATAGCTTTTGATATGTAAGAATCTTACATTGTTTAGAACTATTTACTTCAGAATTCAAATCTGAGGAGTTGTAATCTTTGACAGAAATCAAAGAAAGAGGACAGAGAAAGGGAAACATGATTGTATGTTTGTTTTAGTTTTACAGTATGCATATAACATCCTGTAATATCGCTCTATAAAACCCAATTCTATCAATGGTGAAAATGTGCATTTCTGTTACTTGGATCTCTGACAATGAATTATAGTAATGAGAGACTGTAATAATGCTTCCATAAAGTTGGTCTATGTTATTTGTCAGTAGAGAATACAAGAATAATTCAAATCATTCAAACACAAGAATTTTTTTGAAAAGGAAAGAAATTAATGTAGGTGGCAGTAAAACTGTGTCAGCACACATCTATAGCTTTAAAATGTACATCTCCACAGACATAATACCCAGCTTTAGCAGCTTAATGCAGCCAGGCATTGCACACAAGCTTATAAATTAGAAAACTGATAAAAAATTCTAGTTTGTTAGCATTACTTCATTTTTTTTATACAAGTATTTTAAAACCTATCAGGATTTTAATTGCAGCTTTTTCCAGTTAGGAAAGTATGTGTAAGTCTAAATTTGTTCAAAGAACAAAAAAAATGTAATTTTCTTCATTCACATAACTCAAAAAGGCCTGAATGGACTTTGTCCTTTACTTTTTTCATGGAAACTTTTTTCTCACACTAAATTAAGTACCTCACCCAAAAGAGAACTTTCAGGACAATTACCAAAATGGAGATGTAGGCAACAACAAAAACATTGTAACAGATTTCGTTAAAACTAAAGAAAGAACAGGAGGACCGAGAAGGACATAAAATCTCATATTCTTTGAAAGAAAGCTCCTGAGGATACAGAAATCTGCTTTGACATTATAAGAAATGTGGTTGTCTGTGGTGGCAATTACCAATACAGAATTAGCAGGTGAGATTCAGATAGCAATGAAAATAACTCTCATGATACCTAACCAATAGCCCCCAATATCAGATATACGTCCCATTCAGAATGAATCTTTTCCTCAGTAACTTTGCCTTCTTCTAAACTATTTTGTCATCACTGATTCTTCCTCTCTAACTTCATAATCTCAAAACTCAAGCACTTTATTCTAACTCCAATGTACAGTACTCACCTAAATCAGTTTGTGAACCAGCTAAATCCACTTTTTGTAATTCAACAACTACCTGAAAAGTCAATATTTAACATTAATAAGCCATAAATATTTACCAGACTTTAAAGGTTTTTAACTAGTTGCAGTAATGTATGACCTAACTCTAAAGGAACGTTTAGATAGGTAGGTCTAACAATGATTACAGGTAGATTCTCTATCCCCTGTCAATGTCTGCATTGCTAAAAATAGCTTTGCACGCCTGTTGGATGTTCCCTGCCGGAAAGCAGAATATGGGAAGTTACATTCTACACTTCATCGCTACTTGGTACCTTGTTGGTTTGGTCAGTCACAAAAAACCCACCTTAACCCCCCAAATAAGGAATTGTAACACATCTCCTGTGCTTTTCACTATTCGTGAAATAGAACGGGTAGATCATTTGGCCTGAATCTGTTGCTACTAAAGTTACTTAGAGCTTTAAGGGACTTAACTAGTGATACAGAAAGGAAATACTTTTATCCCCTTATCATTCACTGAGCCATTCGGTTCCTCAAGCAAGATCAATTC